ACAACATACTCTAAAATCATCCCTAGGTCAAAGAAAAGACTGATTTCACTTTTATTTCTTTGTCTTCCATTGTTTTGTCTTTTTCTCTCTTTTCTCTCTTTCTTTCTTTTTCTTTCTTTCTTAAGTCAAAATTTAAGAATTTTTGTCTGGTTAGCAACTCTCCCATTCTAGTGACAGAGAAATCAAGTAGGTCAAGGTGATACCGAAGCAAAAATAATAAGCCTACAACTGAGATTCAGATGGAAACCGTAATTGTGTACATGACCGTGGGTTAGAGGATTCATGCCATCCAATAGGGAACTGCAGCTGGTGTTTTCAGTTCCTCATCAAGACTTCCTGCTTTCCTGAGTTTGGGGCCATGATGTAGATCTGCCACTGGATAGAGCTTAATCTGAAAGAGTCAAGAGGGAACACACGTGAACCAAATGTGGTTCTTGTAAAATATTTTGGTCTCCAAATGAGCAAAATATTGTCCTCATATGAGAGTTTAAATGGCACCCTTCTGAGGTACTGATAAGTACATGCCTTACTAAAAGCTTTTAAACCTTCCTAACACCCAGGGAGGAAGGTGAGCAAACAGGCAGTATATGAGAAAATAGCTCCGAACTCCACTGCTAAGAAGAAGGAAGGATGGGGGGCCAGCTGTGATCGTGGCACACTGCTGCTTCATTCCCTGCCACCCACAAAGTAAGGTTCGTGTGCTGTACTCTGATATTCAGGCTCCGTCTAAAGATGGATCCAAACTCCCTTATCACCTCTATATACACCATGATCCTGTTCATTCTCGTCCACATTAGAAGACTTCCATTACACTTCAGGAAGTAGAGGCTGAATTATTTTTGTTGGGTTCTTACCTGTGTGACAAGTTGGCCATGGTTAGCACTGATACCTGGGATGGTAATTTAGGAAATTAGCCAAGTGCTGATCCCTCCTTTCCCTCCCTTCCTTACCTCTGCACCTGAGCTCGAGAGAAGGAGAAATCCAAGGCACACTACCACAGCTGGGTGATAAAGGTCAACATCAATGGTGACAAATCATGTTGATAGTATGTGCCCTTGATGTGATGTGATGGGGATGGCACTTTATCTCTCTGGGCTTCCTCCCATAGTCCCAGTCTAATACTTTGGGATAACATCTCTTTTTTATTATAAATGGATGTTAATTTTGATTACTTTTCTATATCAATTTAGATCTGATTTTTCTCAAACTGTTAATGTAATGTAAGGCAATCCTGGTCCTAAATCACCCCAGATCCACCCTCATTCCTCCCCATTCCGCTCTAGATTATACTGGGGTTGACCCCTGTAAGTTACAATTCCCAAACTCACCAACCATTGGCTGCCTTTCTGGTTCAGCTAATTGTCACACCATTAAGAGATTAGAACCCAGAAGGGTGGAGAAGTCAGAGATTTTTCTCCTCCTTCCTCTACAACAACTGGCATTTCCTTCAATGGCTACATATTCTTCATGCCTCCAGCTACATCAGATTGACCCATCATGGCTCTAGATTCTGCTGAATCCTGAACCCAGGTTCTAGTAACACTATTTCCTCTCTTTGTTCTTCAGGCCTAGAGGTGGGTGTGATTTCCTTGTAATGCTAATTATTGGGTTTCCCAATTCTCCTCTGCTTGGCTTCTCTATCACTTGCATGACCAATTCCTTGCATTAAATTTCTTCCATGTTAAATATTTACAGCGGCTTTGATTTTCGTGAACCATCCTGACTATTACATGTGGCCAATTATATTGGTTGATCTACTAGTGTTCAACTTCTTTGCATCCCTGGGTTAAACTCAACTCTGTCACCAGCAGCTAATTATGTTTAAGTTTCTCCTATTATTAATAACAAAAATAAAATGAAATACTGCTGAACCCTGTAACTTCCTCAAAATAACATTATAACACTCTTACCATCTTTGCAGTCTTCTTATAATAATTTTACACTTCCTAGTTGTGAGATATACATTGATAATACTCTAATAGCATAAGTAATAGAATGACCTGCCAACTTGTTAAAAATTTGAGCAATACAGGTGCCCCTGGGTGGCTAAGTCAGTTGAGCATCCAATTCTTGATTTCGGCTCAGGTCATGATCTCGGGGTAGTGAGATTGAGCCCCATGTCGGGCCCTGAGATCAGTGGGGAGTCTGCTTAAGATTTTCTCTCTCCAAACAGGAGGGTATCTTGCTGAGTGAAGTAAGTCAATCGAAGAAGGACAAACATTATATGGATTCATTCATTTGGGGAATACAAATATAGTGAAAGGGATTAAAGGGGAAAGCAGAGACAATGAGTGGGACATATCAGAGATGGTGACAAACCATGAGATACTCTTAACTCTGGGAAATGAACAAGGGGTAGTGGAAGGGGAGGAGGGCGGGGGGTGGGGTGAATGGGTGATGGGCACTGAGGGGGGCACTTGACAGGATGAGCACTGGGTGTTATTCTGTATGTTGGTAAATCGAACACCAATAAAAAATAAATTTATTATAAAAAAAGAACAAGATGAATAAAGGAATAAATGTCAATTATATATATATATATAAAAAGAAAATATCAGTGAGGGTGAAAAAACATGAGACACACCTAACTCTGGGAAACCAACAAGGGGTAGTGGAAAGGGAGGTGGGCGGGGGATTGGGGTGACTGGTTGACGAGCACTGAGGGCGGCACTTGGCAGGATGAGCACTGGGTGTTATGCTAAATGGTGGCAAATTGAACTCCAGTTAAAAAAAAAGGGACATAGATAATAATTCACTAATACCCAGATGTGCCAGACCTGCCGCACCCGCTGCCACCATCTGGCCCTATTCCGCTCCTCCGTGGCCTTCCTGGGCTGACCGTGGGCCCTGACCTCTGCCGGGTCCCCTCAGGGTCCATCCCTCGCCTCCGCTTAGCCCCGGGACCCTCCCTCCGCACCCGTCAGCGTCTGCTCCCACCACACCAGGCCTCAGGCTCTGGGGTAACCGGATGTGCCAGGCCTGCCACACCCGGGGCCACCATCTGGTTCCATCCCACTCCTCCTCGGCCTTCCTGGGCTCACCATGGGCCCTGCCCTCCTCTAGGTCGCCTCTGTCCTGGGCACCAGGGTCCCTGCCCCCACAGGCACTCCCTGTGCTCTTCCCCCCCCTCAGACCTGGCAAACTTCCCTTAGGACCTGGCTCCTGAGCTCCATGGGCTCCGGTCCCCACCCCCACAACCCGAGTGCATTTCCCGGGTGGCCGCGTGTGTCCGGCCTCCCTAGGGCCGCCCCCCAGTCCCGAGGTGGGGTCCCAGTGCCTCCATCTCTCAGGGAGGAGTGGAGGCATGAAGGTGGGACGGGGGACACCCGCAGTTCTCCCTCAGGTCCTCACTCCTGCTCCGGGGAGGGCCCGGCCAGTCCTGCCTCTGGGAACCCGAGGCCACTGCCCCAGGCCCCAGCATCCAGGCATCAGCTCGAGGCCGAGGCCCCGCCTGGTCTCTCCTGGTTCCCGATAGGCACCCCCCACCCCCCACCCCCGCCTCCCCGCCGCCCTCCGGGGCCCCTCCCCTGCTCTCCGAGCACCCTCCCAGTGCACCTGCTCCCCTGGGGCCTGCTCGCCTGGCTGCCTGCCTTCGCTCAGCGGGGACCCCAATCCGGCCCCCCACGCGAGGCCCTCCGCTCTCTCAGACCTCCGAGGCGGAAGTCAGCCTATGTCCCATCCGGACCTCGTAGCCAGGGGTCCCCAGCGCTCCCAGCACACGGGTACTGAGGAGATGGGCTCCGGGCTGGGGGGTTGGGGGGGAGCAGGCCGGCGGGGCCCTCCTGACCTCCCTGGGCTCCTCCCAGGACTCTGGCTGGCCTGGGCCTGCCCCCGTCACCTTGCCACACAGTCTGCGCTCGCCCACCCCCCCAAGCCTCAGGTCCCCACTTCCCCACCTGGAGGCAGAGTGGAGGCCGGCCTCTGTCCCCCGCCCGCTGCTCGCTCCTCAGCTGCACACTAGGAGTCGCGCTGCCCACGGAGACCCCGGGCCCCAGGGCCTCGGCCCCTGCAGAGCCTTCCCTGGGGGCCGACCCCCCCTCACCCTTCCACCCCTTGGGGCTGGCGCAGGCCTCAGGGCACCCCTCCCCACCTCCCTGCGGGCCGGCGGCCTCTACACACAGTCCCCGAAGGCGGCGTGGCCCCGGGTCCCTCGTGTCCTCACTGCTCACACACAGGGCCTTGCAGGGAGCAGAGCTCAGCCCTGTGTGGCCGTGAGGGAGCCGCCAGCAGGGCTCCCCTGGCCTCCCGCGGGCCCTTTCTCGTCCTTTCCGCCGGCCCGGCCCATGCCGGAGCACACCGGTCCGGGTTCCTTGGGCCCTTGCAGAATGAACGGGCCAGGAGGCACAGGAAGCCAGAACAAAAGACTTTTCCTTTTTATTGGCTGCACGATCCGACCCGGTCCTTTGACCCCTCCGTCCTTGCTGCTTCCCAAGCCATTTCTGTCCCAGTGCCCTGCCTGGGATGAGGATCCGGGTGGAGCCCACACAGGGACGGAGGTGGACTTGGCCAGCTGGTTTTCAGGACAGGATGAAACTCTTAACTGTTGAACTGGGGGATGTACAGAAGTTCGGGATGCGGGGGCGGCTGCGGCGGTCCGGGCGGGGGGAATGTCAGTGACACACGTAGCCTCCCAAGCTGATGAATCCCCCGAATCCGAGCAACGATGTGCAAGAGCCTCCTCATGTTAACCAAGCTCTGGATCTCCGGGTCGCGGAAGACAACAGGCCCCCAGAGTGGCTTTTCACCCTGCTTTCTGCCCCCAGGCCGCCCTGGCCCTGCACTCACTCCTAGAAAGCCCAGTGCTCTGTCTTCTCCAACACAAACACACAAACAAACCACACACACACACACACACACACACACACACACACACACACAGGTAGACCCAGAGGCGCCCACGGGGAAGCAGCAGCAGAAGGGATGCCTCCCTTCGTGCCCATCCCGCGGGAGAAGCTGCCGACCCCACCAAAGGCTGGAAAGGGCCTGGCCGCCTCTGGGGCTCAGGCCCACTCTTCCTCATCAAACGGGGCCAGGGAGGAAACCGGCCACCTGCTATTAACCCATAGCACATACTCCATGACCCGCAGCTTGCTGGTTTCCTCGTGGGCCCTGGGCCCCCACAGGAACTCGTAGCGGGCAGGGTCGCTGCCCGCCACCTGCCGGTACTCCACGTAGCCTTCCTGCACCCAGACGTGGGTGAGGAGCTCCCTGGGCTCCCCATAGATGACGTGCTGCCTGCCGGCAAACACCCCCACGACCCCCAGGGCTTCCCACACCTCCTGCTCGGGGGCACGGTCGCCCTCCAGGAGGATCACCCCCAGGAGCAGCACCAGGAGGCCGGTCGTGGGCAGGCCCTGCTCACCGCTCAGCATCCCATCGTAGCTGAGGCCCAGGATGGTGACCAGGGCGTAGGAGTGTGCGATAGGATCCACTTCCTTCACTTCCACGCCAAAGACCAGCTGCATGCACTCACAGGCTTGACCCCAGATCTCGGGCCAGGCATCCTGCATATCTGGGCTGAGGACCTCCAGCACCTCTGCCTGGCTGGTGGGCTGCTTGTTGAGATACTTGCGGAGCAGGAACCCCACCAGGTCAGCCCCACTCATGAGCATTGGGTCTCCTCCTTGGGCAGAGGGCTGCGCATATTCGGGCACCTCCCAGGGGTTCCAGATCTCCTCCTCTGGGCCACTGGGGCCAGCAAACTCCACCTGGCTCCAGCCACTAGGTGCCCTGCCACAGGGGGAGGGCCCTGCACTCTGAGGGCTCTGGGGAGGACTCCAGGCAGTGTCAGACCCCTCCTCTGGGGTCACAAAGAACAGGCCAGAGCTGGACAAGGAAGGGGAGGAGCAAGAGGAGGAGGAGGGGGAGGAGGAGGAAGAGGAACACAGGTAGGGGGGAGACGAAACTTCGTCTTCATCCTCAGCCTCTGGCAGCTGGGCATTGACCAGGCCCTGGGCTTCTCCCGGGTCTTCTTCCAGCTTCCAGAGCTGACTCGTGTGACTCAGGGGCATGGCGTGGGCGTGGAGCTAAAGCTGAAGACAGCGGTGGGATGGCCGGTCGGGGTGCAGTTGGGCCAAGAGAGGCCCCGTGCCAGGACAGAGAGCGGGCCGCATCAGGATTGGCTACACAGGAGGCCCCTGTGTGTTGGGCTGGGCGACTTGAGCCCCTGGCACCAGGCTCAGAGACAACGTGGACCTCACCAGGTCCAGCGACACAGACCTGCTATGCCTCCTTCACGCTGTGACCTGAGGGCCTCGTGCCGGCGACCAAGGCCTCTGCTGCGCTGCCAGTTCTTGGAGCCCCTGCAGGAGGGAAGCAGGGGGCACCTCAGGGTGCAGACTGCCAGCCCAGCCCTGGGCCCCCAGTGCACACAGGAAGGTTGGCTCGCACTCTGGGAGGTCCCCGACAGTCCAAGTCCCCTCCTTGGCCTGCCAGTGCCCTTGGCAGTGCCTGGGACCCAGGCCTCTGTCTGCGGTCCTGAGGCCAAAGTGTCCCCACAAAACCAGGCTGCCCCGACCCTCCCCATGAGGAAGCCAGGGGACCGGCTCTGGGCAGGCCTGCCAAAGGTCTCTGGGGCTTCCTCCTGTGCCGTCAAATAAGGGATCACGGATCACGGATCACGCACCAGGGGAGGGATGGCCCAGCTCCGGCTTCCCTCTGGGCCAGGATGGGGCGCCTCTCGCTCTTCACCTGGACCCCACGCAAGGCGTGGGAAGACTCTCCGGCTGGCCCTGAGGCCACCCTCTTTGCACCTTCCTTGCAAGGGCCCCTACCCAGACCCCGCAACCAGCCAAAGTCCAGAGAAATCAGTCGGCCCACCCGTCCCGCCTCTCCCCATGGCCCACACAAGCGGCCGGGGCGGCCTGGTCCCCAGAGATCCTGCTGAGGAAGGCACCCGCTCATTTCTCACCTCCAGCCCCGCCAGGGCCGGGACCGGGGCCAGGGCAGGGCACCTGCCTCCTCTGCTGACCTGAGCGCAGACCCTCAGGCCCAGGCCCTCCCGCCCGGATCCCAGGGATCTGGAGAGGAGGAGGGGCTCCGCGGGACGGGCCACACCCCGGGTTCTCTTCTCAGGGCTGCCAGGGAGGGGCACCCAGATTTCGGGGCCATCCCCTCCTGGGCCTGGGGGCTGGCTTGGGGGCCACTCACCCCTCCAATGTAGGGTGGGCGGGGGTCCACCGTCTGCGCCCTCAGGGAGGCGGTGCTCCTGCCGCCAAGGGCCCCCAGTCTCTCTGGAGACCCGGATGTGGAAGTCTGGCCCCCCGGCCGCCCGCCCGAAGGCAGGTCCCCAGCCTGCCCAGGGGGCCTCCCAGGCCTCCCATCCCTGGCGACCTCCTGCCAGGTCCCCTCTGTCCTGGGCTCCAGGGCCCCCGCCCCCACAGGCACCCCCTGTGCCCCTCCCCCCTCAGGCCCCGGCAAACCTCCCTTCGGACCTGGCTCCTGAGCTCCGTGGGCTCTGGTCCCCACCCCCACCCCCCGAGGCGCATTTCTCGGGTGGCCGCGTGTGTCCGGCCTCCCCAGGGCCGCCCCCCCAGCCCCGAGGTGGGGGCCCAGTGCCTCTGTCTCTCGGGGAGGGCGGGCCGTGGGTTGAGGCATGAAGGTGGGGTGGGGGACCCCCGCCGTTCTCCGTCAGGTCCTCACCCCGCTCCGGGGAGGGCCCGGGCCCGTCCTGCCTCCGGGGACCCGAGGGCACTGCCCCAGGCCCCGGCATCCAGGGCTCAGCTCCAGGCCGCGGCCCCGCCTCCCCCGGTTGTCTGTTGGGGTTCCCGACAGGCCCCCCCACCCCCCGCCGCCCTCCGGGGCCCCTCCCCCGCCCTCCGAGCCCCCTCCCGGGGCTACCTGCTCGCCTGGCTGCCGCCGGCCCGGGCCTGGCCTCCTTCCAGGGGACCCCACTGCGCCCCCCCGCACCGAGGCCCCCCGCTCTCTCTCAATTCTGACGCAGAGGTCGGCCCACGTCACATCACGTCCTGACCCCGTTGCCAGGGGTCCCCACGGCTAAGAGCACAGCACGTTGGGTTGAGATGAGTTCCAGGCTAGGGTGGGAGGAGGGAAGCGCGCCGGCTGGCAAAGCGGGGGCCCCCTGTCCTCCCTGGGCGCCTGCCCTGGCCTCGGGCGGGCTGGGGCCCCGGCTCTCTGCAGACCTCAGTCCGCGCCCCTTACGCCGAGCCTCTCAGGCCCCGACGTCCCTGAGCGCCTGACGGATGGTTGCTGCGGCTCGGGCCCCACCGGCTCCGCGGGTCCCGGGGCGGCCCAGGGCTGCTGGCAGGGGCACCGCAGGGTTCGGCGGCCCCCAGCGTCCGGGGACAGGTGGGCTCTCAGTCCTCACCCAGGAGGCCCTCATCAGGACACAGGCCTGCTGTGCGGCCGCGGCGCCCATAGCCCCGGGGCAGGGGCCGGGAGGAAGCGCCCCTTCCCGTGGGGTCCCTTGGCCAGCAGCCAGACTTTAGAACCGTCGTGTGAAGGGTTTACTTTCCCGGGGGCGGCCGAGCAGCCGCAAGGGTGTCTAGGGGTGTCCAGCATTGCGGGGCCCACTGCAGGGAGTTTCCCCCTCACGTGCTGCGTCATCGGGACAAACACAGCGCCCCTCGGTACCTAGTGGGTGTCCTGTGCACGCGTATGTACAAGGTGTGCAGACTATGTGTGCTGGTATGCAAATGTACGTACATATCACGTAATACGGACAGCGGCACATGCAGGTGCGTGTATGCTCACCGGATACATGCATCTGTATGTGTATTCATGTACGTGTAGACTATATATATACTTTATCAAAAATACCTTTTCTTCCTGTGTGAATTGCTTTGATGCTCCCTACTCTATTTCTGGTAGATTCTGTATATTCTACTTAAGTGATTTTTTTAAGGGGCATTCCTTGCCACTAAGATGATTTCAGGTGGTTATTTGCATAGACTCTAGAGTCCAATGCCTCAATCATCCTGTCTTTCCCTGTGTCCTCTCAGCACCCCAGGGCTAATGTCATGTGTCCTCTGAGGTCTTGCCCCAGATTTATGCTGGGAAGCAGAAGCAGAAGTTGGAAATTGCTCCGCCTATCAATCCTGTCATCTGCATTGATGCAGGCTGCATTCCCTCCCCACATCCCTGATGTTCCCTGCATCCCCAACCCAAACTCAACATCCAGCTCAGCGGTCTTCAGGGTCCTCCAAGGCTTTCTCCTCATTTATTGTTCGGACGTTGTTTATTCTGTGTGTGTTTTTCAAGACTTTCATTTCTTTCTTTCTTTTTTTTTTTAAGGTTTTATTTCTTTACTCATGAGACACACGGAGAGAGACAGAGAGGCAGCGACACAGGCAGAAGGAGAAGCAGGCTCCACGCAGGGAGCCCGATGTGGGACTCGATCCAGGCTCTCCGGGACCAAGTATCTGCCCAAGACTTCCTTTTTTTAAAGTGAGGTTTTAGTTGCACAGAAATGAAAACGGAAATTCCTTCCTCATCGTATTCTGATAGAAGCCTTTTCCATTAGCTAGTGTTGAATTTCTTTCAAAGGAAATTTCTATACCCAGTCGTGATCAGATGTTTTTAGTTCCATGATTTTGTTGATGTAGATAAATAGGGTTGAAAGATTTTTCTAACGTGAAGGCAGATTTCTGTTCACTGGGCACCGCCTCTCGTCCGTTTTGTTCACTACGAATTTGAATATGCATATACTTATTCAGGATATTTGCTGCTATATGAGTGCTTGGCTTGAGCGTTCTTTCAAGGTGGATTTCTCCTCTAGCATTTACATCCAGGAGCACGAGCGTGGGACATTTAGTTGAAAACAATGCCCATAGTTTTCTTTAGTTTGAAGGAGTTTCGCTAAGATGATGATGACTTCTCCCCAACCATTTGGTCGAATGAGACCACAGGGTGGTGGTGGGGGGTAGGGGTGGGGGGAGGGAGTCCAAAATGGTGGAGGACTTGAGAGACCTAAGTTCCTCTGGTCCCCGGAATTCAGCGAGACAGCTACTAAATCATTCTGAACCCCTGAGAACTGAACCGGAGATCTACAAAAAGAATAGCTGCAACTCTACAAAGAGAAAAGCATCCAGTTTCTGCAAGACAGGAGGTGTGGAGAAGTGAAATGGAGGCGATACATGGGAAGATGGGGGGGGCAAAAGGGGGGCGATACATGGGAAGATACGGGGGAGCAAAAAGGGGGCGAGCTCCAGCAGCCTCCACCAGAAAGTGATGGAGCAGCAGAGAGCGCAGAATCCGGACCTTTAGAAGTCCGCTCCGGGGAGGGACGGCCCTGCGTGCCCGGTGCTCAGACAGTGAAGCGGGTGCAGAATCCTAGGTGGGACAGCGTGGTCTCAGGATCCCCCGGGGTCACAGGAACACTGACGGTGCCTGAGTGCAGCAGAGCTCCCAGACATCGGAGCAGGGAAGCCGGCTGCAGTAAGCGAGCCCAGCAGCGGGCTCTCGGCCAGTGGTAGCCGTAGCCCTGGAACCCAGCAGGGTCAGTGGGTCCCAGCACCCTCAGCGCAAAGGCTCTCCGAGCAGGAGCCCAGCAGGCGGCAGGACCGGCAAGCCCCCCCTTGCTCCCCCTGGGGAGGAGCAGCGCACATGTCCACACAGCAGGAATCTGCAGGGTTTGGAAGGCGAAGCAGGGTCCCTGCCTGAGATGGAAATGCTTGGTCACAGGCTGGGTGGGTGAGCACAGTGTGCGGTCGGGGACCAGGGAGACAGGAGTGATGGGTTGCCTGTCACTGGGGGTGCGCTAAGGAGCGGGGTGTGAGCTTTCGGCCCTGGGGCTGGGGATGAGGAGGCCACCACTTTCGCTCTCAGCCTCTAAAGCGGCCTGCAAGGCCTTCAGGGAACAAAATCCACAGAGAGCCACCCGGAGCAGATTACGTAGCCTGGCCCCCTGGCAAGGGCGGTGCACACCCACTCGGGGCAAAGACCCTTGAAAATCAGCGCAACAGGTCTCTCCCCTGTGTGGATGCAGTGTGGGTCCTGAGACCCCCTGGGTGGGGAATTGACCTGCTGGCCTGCTGGGTGGCTGACGTGCGCC